CAAACTAGAGAGAACCTAAAGTCAGGACACTCTGGAGCTCTATAAACAGAAACCGTTAACCACGAGTTCATTTATTAGGGAATACCCTCCCGTGATGACGTATCATAAAGCAGATACGAGAAGCTTCAGACTGCAGGGAGAACTGCCAGATGCACTCCCAGCTGACCAGAGGCTGAGGGGATTTGGCTGGCTTGGGTGTTCTGGGGACACGCCATGATGTCAGGGCAGGACTGGCCAGCTATTTAAGTCCTCTTACACCGCACCAGCAAACAGGTCTGTTCCAGTACTTAGTAGCAGGTGCAGAATCTTATATGCTAAAATACCTGTCGAAGTGGGGAAAAGGTAACAGGGAGGGGCTGATAAAGAACAAAATAAGAAGTGGGCCACACGTGGTAGCAAAGTGAGGTATAGACAGAATTTATGAGAATGCAGGAACTGGTAACTTGAAAGAAAAGAGGGTGATAAGGATTAATAAGACTTAGAGAAAAAATTGCAAAGAAAACTTGCATCTCAGAATTGTGATCCGCCGTTAACTGCGATAACCTTATTTATAAAGAGCCATTAAAAAATAATCCTTAAAATGTTATATATTTTTATTTTTTAATTAAGAGAAAAGAACTTTGTATCTTTGTTTACATTTAAAAATCAGACCTATAAATTAAAAGCTTAACTTTGTAAATAGAGTCCTAGTAATCACTAAAGACGCTCAGAAGCATTGCTCTTCCTACATAGCAGGTGTTGAGTCGGGTAATCACCAACATCTTTGCAATTAATTATTACATTTGAGGAGAATGTATTCTGGGCTATTTACATTCATCTTAGAAGTGACACTTCCTCAGATGATTAAATTAGAAGAGTGGTCTTTAAGCTAGAAAAAAGGGGTTTTAAATAACTTTAAAATTTTAAAGATATCTTAATTTTAAAGAATTCACATTATTACTACATGAGGTTCTTAATATATTATGTATTTTAGTCTACAATTACTACCCTCAGGGAGTTTAAAAATTCTTTCTTTTATTCACCACTCAATGTTATTTTGCATATCCTGCTGGTGCTTATTATGTTCTAAATACTATCTTATATATACTAGTTTATTTAATCCTCACATTAACCATTTACAGTGGGGCCTGTTGTCCCCATTTTACAGTTAACTAAAACAGAGATAAAGTGATGAAAAGCAGATTGAAACCCAGTTAATCTGGCTTCAGAGTCTTAATTTTCATTTTAACCATCATGCTGTGTTGTTAATCTTACCTCCTGTACCTTAAAGATTGTTTACTAGGCTGTGTATTCTTCCTTCCAGCAAGTCTTTACTTGTCTTTGTTGGCATACTAAGTTCTTATGGTTGTCTGTTATTTTAAATGAAGTTATGAAAATAAGTAGTTTAGCTAAATAGTTCTTTATAATTATTCCATACAATAGTGGGTTGACGTATGTTTTGATTACCAGAATTAGTTTACAAGATATAAAACAAACATTTTGTTCAGTCTATGTGTATAAGAAATTGCCGTGTTGGGATTTATTTAAGAATGACATCTTTGCCAGTTTTTAGCTTTGTTACTTTGAGCAAGTCGCTTCATCTCGGTCTTTCATGTGTCTGTAAATATGAGAAAACTGAAGGCATACAGAGATGTAAAAAAAAAACTAGAGTGAGAAATGAGAAGAAAATCCAAAGCATTATATAGTAAAAACAAAGATTTCCTCCCAGGGGCCTGTAAGTATATAAGTATATAGTCAGAGTGATAAGAAGCATGCATAAATATCTACCAGCAAGGTATGATATGTTATGTGTGGGAGAGTGGTACCAAATAAATTCTCTTCAGAGTTTAGAGAAGCCAGAGGGATCAAGGAAGGGGCTTTATGGAGAATATTACCTTTGACCTAACTGCTGAAACACGGCAGCAGATCTTTATTTGTAGTAGCCAGAGGGGATTGGAGTGGGGATACAGGTGGGGGGTAGAATGCTAAGAAATTTTGTTCAGTTGCTAATATAACAGAGAGATTTAATGTGAGCCTTATTTTATTTTTAACACCAAATTGGGATTTCTACCATGATTTTTACACTCAGACCCTACTTCTGCTTTTGCCGAGAGGGCAGTATAACCTGTAGTCGATAAAAGGGCAGCTTTGAAAGCTGAATATGTGGGTTCAAATCCCGATCACAACACTTAGAGCTGGGTGACTTTTGGCCATTTATTTAAATTCTGTAAGCCTTAGTCTCCTCACTTCTAAAATGGTAATGTTAGTGTCTACTATGAGGATTTATTGTTAGGATTCAATAAGGTAATCATTGTAAAGTACCTAACACAGTACCTAGCTAGCATGTAATAAATGCCGTTTCTGTGCCTGGGCCTGAATAACATGGCATTGGACAAACTATGCAGTTACTGTGAGGCCACGAGAGGCAGGATAGCACAGTGCTACTCAAAGATTGCTCTGTGGTGTAACAGCATCAGCATCATCTGGGAGTGTCTCCACTCCTCAGCTACTGTGGGGTGAGGCCTAGGAATCTGTTTTAACAAGCTGTCCAGTTTGTGTACACATTAAATGTTGAAATCCACTGATAACGGTTTTTGGTTCAGAGCAAGGCTTCTGTAGTCTGGCTGTCGGGGTTCAAATGCTGGCTTTGCCCTTGATAGCTATGTTTTCTTGGGCAATTGACCTAACCTTTCCTGCCTTTGTTCTTTCATTTGTAAAATGGCGCTAGCAGTTGTAGCTCCCTTACTGGATGGTTGTGAGGATTAAAAGAGTTAATACACATAAAGCACTTAGAATTATGTTTGGTACATGGAGAGCCCTCAATAAATGTGGGCTATGCTGTAGTATTTATGATGACCACTGTATTAGTTTCCCATTACTGCTGTCAAAATTACTACATATCAGTGACTTAAAACAACACAAATTTGTCATCTTAAAGTTCTGAAGGTCTGAAGTGGAAAATGGGTCTCACTGGACTAAAATGGAGATATTAGCACGGCTGCATTCCTTTCTGTAGGCTCGATGGGAGAATCCATTTTCTTGCCTTTCCCAGCTTCCAGAGGCTGCTGCGTCTCGGCTTGTGTCCCCCTCCCATCTTCAAAGCCAGCAATGGCCACCCAAGTCTTTCTCACTTCACGTCACTCTGACACTGATTCTTCTGCCACCGTCTTTCACTTCTAGAGACCCTTGTGATTACGTTGGGCCCACCCAGATGCTCCAGGATAATCTCCTTATTTTAAGGTCACCTTTGTAGCAACCTTAATTCCCCTTTGCCATGTCACCTAAAATATTCACAAGTTCCGGGGATTAGGACGTGGACATCTTTGGGGACCATTATTCTGCTTACCACAACCGCCAACTTCAAATGGATGCTCAGTACGCACCAGCATTGGTACTACTCTTCTCTTGTGAACTCGCTTTTCCACTCTACCTTTCCTCAACTTTTCCCACTCTTCTCCACCTCTTATTTATTCCCGGACCTGCCTCAGTTGACATCCTTTGCCTCACACTCAGTTGAGGAAATAGCAGCCATGAGGTGAGAGTTTGCTCGTCTTCTATCCGCCACATCTACAAACTTACTTGAATATATCCATCTTTTCCTCCTTTGCCTCTACTAAAATGGAGGGAACATCTGTCTCTCTAAAAATCCTGTTTTTTCTTGTTTTATAAAAAACAACACACCACATGTGTGTGGTGATGGATTGTAATTAGTCTTTGGGTGGTGAACATGATGTAATCTGTGCAGAAATAGCAGTATAGTGATGTACACATGAAATTTATATAATGTTATAAACCAGTGTTACAGCAATAGAAAAAAACTGATTTAAGCAAAGGAAAAAAAAATCCTGGCATTTCTCACCCCTCAGCACACATTTTTTGATTTATATAGATGATGTTTAGGATCTCCCAGTAAAACGCCCTCCTCTGAACCCACATTCCTTCTCTGGTTTCTCCACCTCCCGTTTACTCTTCAGCCCCATCTCAGAACCCCCCTTTTGTTACCTAGTTGAAGCAGAAACCTGGAAATCGCCCTTGATGACGTCATCTCAGCCCTCCACCTCCAGTCTGCAGATCACTACATCTACCTCTGAGTCTTCACTTCAGCTGCTATCATCCCAGTCCAGGCCGCCAGCATCTGTGGCCTGGACTACTGCTGCAGCCTCTGAGCTGTGTCCTCACTTGTTGTGTCTCCCTGCACTCTTCCCTCCATTCCACAGCTAGAGTGATCTTTGTAAAAGGGGAATCGAGCTTGTCACATCCTGCTCCCCTTACAAACTTTGAATGACTTTTTGTTGTGTTTAGGATAAAACTTAAAAACAAAAAAATCTTTAATCTGGTCTGGCTCCTATCACTCGAACCTCATTCTTATCTCTTTCATTTACTGTGCTGCAGCCACAGTCTTAGCGTTTGTCAAGTGTGCCAGATACTCTTCTGTTTCAGAGCCTTCCCAGGCACCTAGAATCATACCCTCTCCTGTCTTTCCTTCCCCTCACCGCACCTCTCCATCTGTATGGCTTATTCCAAGCTGAGGAAGATAGAACTTTGATTTCTTTCAGGACCAGTTAATTTCATTCAGAGTTTTTTTGCTGAAAAATTTATTGATGAAATTATCACTATAATAATTGACATGCTAGACATCATGAGAACCTCTTTACAAATTGCAAAACAGAGGTTAATTTCCATCTTACACATCTTATTGCAGACATAGCTGTGATTATAATGGAGAGAAAATGTAGAACTAGTCCTTTTTCACTTCTGGACTACTTAACACGAGTTTACTGGTAGCAGTTAGAACACGATACTCCCTGTTATGTATATACTGCCTGGAGTTTATTTCCCAGGTGTTCTTGCCAAACCCAATTTATCAAAACATAATGATCTAGCTGTTCATGGATGAGAAGAGAAAGTGGTGGCATGATTATTTTGTGTATCATAAAACATGACTTTCTCATTATTTTTTAGTGACTCTTCTTGATTACCTGACACTTTATTAATATTTCTTTATGTATCTTATGTTGCAGACTATTCAGACTATGAAGACAGTTCCCTAGAATTTTTGGAAAGGTGCTCTTCTCCACTAACTCGATCTTCTGGGAGTTCTCTGGCTCTGCGAAGCATGTTTACGGAGAAAAATACAACATATCAGTATCCAAGGGCAATTCTGTCAGTTGATCTTAGTGGTGAAAGTATGTGTAACCATGTAATGCTTAAAACAAGTCTTAAGATTCTTAAATGTGGAACTGAGAATAAAACATACGTTATTGAGAGCCTATCTGAGCAGGGCGCACAATTGAAAAAATTATTCCATAAACTAATATGAAAATCTCAACATTAGAAATTTGAGCTACTTTTTAATTTATATGAAGTAAAATTGGCTTTTATACTTAATTGTAGGACAGATGGTATGGAAACTATTAGTGTCTACCTTATACTGGTCGTCTTTAGGTGTTTTAACATATATTTTCATATTCACTACCAACTTATGAAGTAGATATTGTTATCCACATTACAATGATAAACAAGCAGAGGCTTATAGGTTAAGTAACTTTTTGAGCTCATATTAGAATTAAAAGTCAATCAAAGCCTATCTTAACTCCAAAGTTTTTTTACCAAATATTTATCATAGACTTAAAAATGTGCTTTGATCATAGATGCATCTGTAACCGAAGGTGTGGGAATGTGGCCACATCAGTGATTTGAATACACTCAGGTGTAAGGCACCCTCTCATATAGACAGAAGGCCGTGTCAGGTTGGGAAAGGAGCCCTGGAGTAGGAGTCTGTTAGGTGTTCCTGCAAGTCCAGTCCTGACAGTGGGAGGTGTGGAGGACTCGTACCTTCCAGTCTAAGCACTGGGAGGAGAGACTCCCAACTCTGGACGTTGATGGCAGTGGCTTCCGACGAGAGCTCCAGCACAGTAGGAACCCGGGTTAAGGAATGAAGAATGAGGGATGGGGTCTTCATCTTATGTAAAGGATATGCCAGGGATACCTATGGGTGAGCTCACTTCCTGTCTTTCCCTTTCTTCTTGAGTGCCCCACATGGTAGCTAATAGGTTATGTGTTTCCTTGTGCATTGTTACTACCTGTTCTCTTCCAGGCCTAACTCCTCTCTAGCTCACTATAGAGAAAAGCATATTCTTCCCTTTACCCTAAGAAAAGCACACAGCACCTTTGAGATACTTAATTAAAAAAAATTGGGGGAAGGGATGATTAGGAAAAAGTCCCCCCTCCTTTTCCCAAAAATACAATTGCCCTTTTCCCATTTGGGCTGGTGGTTCTTAACCCCAGGTGTACATTATAATCGCTACTGTGAGGCTTTTAAAGTAATCCGATACCAGGTCCTGCAGCAGAGCACAATTAAATGAGATTTCTGGGAGGGTGGATCCTGGCAAGATAGCACTTCTGAGGGATTCTGTGGGGCAGAGCAGCAGGGGTTGAAAATCACATAAGAACACCCAAACTGTGGGCCATCAAGGTCTGAAAACTGTCTCTATGCAGAGTGATGAGAATGGGAGATTATATCTGGGCTAGCAGTGTTGCCGGCACTAGGATACTTGAGAGAGGAGTGGGAAGAGTGTCATGGATATGTACTCTCAGTTCTGCCATGTCTTTCCCTTGCCCTTCATGTGATGAGCACTGAGCTATGAGAAAGAAAACAGATGTTAATAAGCGGCAGAGGTTCCCAAATGTTAGCATGCATCAGAACCACTTGGAGAGCTTTTGAAAACGCGTTGTTGGGCTTCACCCTCAGAATTTCTGATTTCTAACAAGTTCCCAGGTGATGCTGATCTGGAAACCCCCCTTTGAGAATACTTTCTCAGGAAATAGCAATGCTAGTTCAAGGGGCAGCGGTTGGAAGAGAACGGTGTTCTCCTGGCCACTCAAAGGGAGCTATTGTCCAGGTGGCTATTTCAGTGTGAGAGGGAACTTTTACTTGCTTTTGTTATGTAGCTTTCTACCCAGTAACCCATTTACTCAGCCCCTAGAATTTAGCCAAGCATTTGTTTGATGCTTGGAAGTTAGTTATTCAAATTTGATTTTCTGGCCATTATGTTAAATTTGCATTCTCACACCATAAAACCTGATTATTTTGGTCATGCAATCATATATGAGATATACACTAATTCCTTTCAATGATAATAGTTTTAAATTAGATTCATTATTAACTCTGGTTATGATTGGCATCCATACTGCAACGGCATTTAAAACTATTTGTCCATATTCTAGTCCACCATTTTGAAATGTGAACTTATATTCAGGAAAGCCCAAGAGAAAATATTAATTTTGGACTTAAGCCAGCACGAGTATGAATGAATGAAGTTTCCTCTTTAGATTCTCAAAGCTATTCATATTGTTAATGTTAGATTTTATCATATCTAATTGATTTAGTTCTTGCCTCTTGAATGTTTTTGTGTATTTCTCTAGCATTATCTCATTTCTACTGACCTCACTCTCTCCAAGATGCCCTAAGACCCTAAAGAGAAGAAAATATTTATTTTTCTATAAAACATTAACTTTGGATAAATCAAAACAAAAAATTCAAAAACATCAAGTCAGGGGAAAAAAGATTAGAAGCTGCCAGAAGAAACACTAAGTCATAGGAAATATTTAAAATATAAGTAGCATGAATTTTTTTAGTTCAAATTTAGCCAACCTCCATCTGGTCTGGTTTAGTCTGAAAAGAAGATTTTCTCTACATATTGACTCCCTTCTTACCTCTTTCACAAACATTCTGGAGTGGCTGCTATATATATCAGGCTTCATTTTAAGCACTGGATGTGGATCATTCAACTGCAAAGCTCCTGCTGTCGTGGACTCTGACATTCTAGGAAGGGGAGCTGAAGTAAGCAGGTGAAGGAGTAATTCAGATTGTGTCTAGAGGGTACAGTGGTGAGGTAGAAAGGAACCACCTCTATCGCCGGGGTGATCTGCTGGTTAGCCTCCAGGTCAGGAGCTCGTAGCAGCGTTCAGGTCTTCTACCATGTGTCTGGTGATGACTCAGTATCACCAGCATTTCTCCATCTACACTCCTGCAGAACTTCCTGTGGTATCTGTCATCATTTCTTTCCCTTTGTCATAAATATTTCCTTATGTTTGCCTCGATTTTTTTCTCGGTAGCCTGAGCTAAATGGTAGTCTTTGATGTCAACACTGTTATAAATACAAACCTAACCTGGCATTTAAATCCAGTTGTATGTTGTGGTCAGCCATATAATCTAGTTTATTAATTTTTTAAAAGTTTTTATCAAAATGAAAAATTTAAATTCGTTAGAGAACTCATGATCCCAGTTTAAGAAATATGGTGAAACTGAGAACACAAGCTTTAGAGTCAGGCAATCTTGATGTGAAGCTGGCTTTACCACTGGCTGGCTGCATTATTTGAGCAAATTATATATCTTACGTTTAAAGCGCTTAACGTAGTACCTGGTGTATATTAAGTGCAACAGTAGTTGATGATACTGTTACTGTTAAGAATAGTAGTATTGATATTAGACCCTAGGCTAGCCTCCGTCACCTTTCTGAAGTGCTGTTATTTCTGTGGTACAAATAATGAAACCTATTCTCTGTACAACCCATGGTTCTTGTGAGGATCAAAAGGGATAACATTTGTTAAAGGATTTGAAAACTATCCAAATTTAAATGATTAATATCAACTTTAGCTATAACCTTTGTAAGCACCAAGACTAGGGGATACTGTCTGAGTTACTTGTAATAGTGTATACGTTAAGATGTAAAGAGACAATCTCTTCCCGTTTGTTTGCCCTCCCTTTCTAAATACTTAATAGCTTGTAATCACTTCTCGTAGGTCTTTCTGGAAAATGATGTAAAAATGAAAAAAAATATGCTGAGTATACTTTTATGTATATTCTAGACTTATCAGACGTGGAATTCCTAGATGATTCTTCAACGGAGAGTTTGCTTCTAAGTGGGGATGAGTACAATCAGGACTTTGATTCAACCAATTTTGAGGAATCTCAGGATGAAGATGATGCTCTTAATGAAATTGTGAGATGTATTTGTGAAATGGATGAGGAGAATGGATTCATGATTCAGGTAACCTGTCTTTCGTACAGTACTGAACTAGTTGTTTCAGGTGCTCAGCAGGTCATCAGGGCTTCTGTTTTGTCTTTTACTGATCATCCTATTGAAGATAGAGGTTTTAACTTACTGTCCTGTTTAAAATACCACTAGTAATGATTGGAAAGTCTCTTCATCAAATGAAGTAGATAGTTTTCTTATTTGAGGGTCACTATCCCTTTGCTAGCCTGTTTAGTTTGAGACCTTCAAGTGGAAATTCTTTTCAAGAGCCGTTAAGATGGATAAACGTCCACACTGAAGGGCAGACCATAGCACCCCTTCTCTTACTGGTCTGGATCCCTCTTATTTAATAATTTACATTATATAGTCATCCATGGGCAGATATTCAAACAAAGTTTCCACTATTCTCAAAGATTAAAGGAAAATTTTGTTGCAAGGATTAACCGTTACAAACAGCCTCTCCCTGTAGAAAGAGTATCTTTAAAAAAAAAGGAAAGCCTAACCCATATTTTTGTGATGACATTTGGAAGATTTGGAGATGTTAATAGGAATGAAAAAAATAATTTCCTTTTTTCTCCCCTTTTTAATGGTTTTCTCAAATAAGAGAACTATACATTTGTCACCACACAGGTAGTACTTTACGAGGTCGTTGCTACAGATGTTGCTACAAGCTTGCTTTTTTAAAAAAAATTTCTTCACTTTAATAAGCTGTTTTTAAGAGTTTTAAGGAAGTGATTGCTTAAAAGTCAGTGGGAAATAAATGAGAGAGAGTTTTATGACTTTTTTATGACTTAAGTAATTTATCAAAACAACAAGAGGAAGTTCTTGAAATAGTTGACCATTTCAAAACCAAAATTCATCATAAATCATCATTTGCTTTTGTTATGTGGGATAAGAATTGAATTGCTGATGGCAGCAAGAGACTAGGCCAACTCATTGAAATGAAGGGACTCTGTCTTTATTTCTCGTGAGTACACTGGTGACTGTAAGCACTCCTCTGTTCTCTTGCAGTGTGAAGAGTGCCTGTGCTGGCAGCACAGTGTGTGCATGGGGCTGCTGGAGGAGAGCATTCCAGAGCAGTACATCTGCTACATCTGCCGAGACCCTCCTGGTAAGACTGCACCCCCGCGCTGATTGCAGGGTGCCTGCGTATCTTGTTTATATCGGCTGTATAAGACACCATTACTTCTTTGTCAGTTAGACTCTGCTTCCATATTGAAAATTTTAAATATTTTTCACTGTTATAGTTTTATTTTCCATATTAATTACTTAGGAAAAAACATTAGCATAAATTCATCACCATAATTACTACCTTACTGGAAGGACAGAGTCATGGCTTTTTCCTGGAGAAGAATTAGCTCATTTGTATACTCCTGTGTATTGACTTCTAAATAGTTTTATGTTTGGCTATTTGAATGGAACTGTATTCTGAACTTATTTTCCTCCTGACATGGTTTTGAAAAAGTTTCTGATAGTGCTACATATCTAACCGATTTTAGAGCAGATGGGATCTCAGATTGTCATATATGATCCCTTATCTTACTGATGAGGCAGCTAGGGCACAGGAAGTTGCATGCCTTATGCACAAGGATAGTACTAGACATGGCAGAACCGAGATGAACCTGTGCCTTTTGACTCCCCATCCATTTGTGCTTTCCACTTAGTGCCTTCCTCTATGCTAGAGTCTCTTTGAGTAGCCATAAATGTTCTGCATATTGTATACACTTTCAGCTTCCAAGACAGAAAATAACTAGGTATTCTCAAATAAAAGTCTACTGAATTGTTCTCATGTCTATCCAAAAAAAAAAGTAACATTAAGAAGCAGAATTATTCAGACCTGTGTGTATGTAGACGTGTTTCCTCATTCATTCAGCAGCATTTATTGGATGCCTTCTGTTTGCCAAACACTGTGGTAAGACATCGGATGACTGATTCTAAGCATGCCTTCCACTATCTCATAGTGTAGTAGGGGACACAGACACAAGCAACTGGTCATAACAGGGTATAATTACTATTGATGTCAAAGATACAGGATTATATAGGATTCTGTGGGATCTCAGACATGGGGGAGGGTCCCTGTTCGCTTAACTAGAGCTCTCTGTTTCATCCAGTTCAAAACAAACGTTAGTGAGAGAAACGGGCACCCCTGTCTAGTTTCTATCCAGCCCTTTCGGCTTTTTTAGAGGACAGATGACAGGTACATCAAAAATGGAAAGCAGTCACTCAAGGTTCCTTTACAGGTGTCATCTGCCACTGACCACATCCTTGATGGAGTTTGTTCTCTTTAGAGGGCAGGAAATCTGAAGGTGTGGAGGAATTCTTACAGTGCCAGCCCCTGAAAACACTGTCTTACTCTTCTTTTGAATTTGTTCTTAGTACTGGAGCTCGCCTTGCTTACTGAGTAATGTTAGTATGGTAGCAGTTGAAGGGAAATCTGAATGAGTGGAATCCTTTGTCACTTTCTTGTCAACTTCATCTACAGGTCAGAGGTGGAGTGCAAAATACCGTTATGATAAGGATTGGTTGAATAATGGGAGAATGTGCGGGTTATCATTTTTAAAGGAAAATTACTCTCATCTCAATGCCAAAAAGATAGTCTCCACACATCGCCTGCTTGCTGATGTCTGTGGGGTTACAGAAGTTCTGCACGGGCTGCAGCTGAAGATCGGGATACTCAAGTAAGTGAAGGGTGCCGAGAGGAGGGCCACACTCTAGTAAAAATGTTAATTCCAACTAAATCTGGTAGCGTTTTGAAGGTTCAGATTAGCGGTTTGGAAGACAGAATAGCTTTTGAATAAATTTTAACTTAAAAAAAAAGGGAAGGATTAATAACTTTGGGTGAATAGCTGCTTTATGCCTATTGTCCTGGGATAGATAAGCATGGTTGAAGGTAGATACCGCATCTCGTATTTCAACAAGTGTTAGTCCCTGTACCGCTGTTTTATGTGATCACCATGTGCACAAAATTAACTGCTGTTGCTGTAGTGAACAAACCTGTAATTTGTGTCTTCCCTCAGGAGTGTTGTCAAGATGAAACAGATCCAATAGTATATTTTTTAATTACCTTAAGATTGGCTCAGGGAGCTGACAGGTCATGTAATCCATCCCTCTGCTGTGCACCAAATATGTTTTATCATCCTAGACAATTTTCCCCTAAAAAAAAACAAAACTGTGCCTCCCTAAATAACATATCAGAATGTTCTTGAAGTCCTTGTTTTCAGTTCTCTGTAACACCTGGCTAGAATTCTTCTTGAATTTTTTTTGCATGTGTAAAAACAGAATGATTCCCTGGTTCTTCACAAGATTTTCTTCTTTATTTTGACTCATTTGCCTGGGCCAAGAGCTTGCCTCTTGCCCTCCTTCCATCCCCATCCCGGTACCTCCCAGTACCGGGGTACACTAAGTGCTCCTGTCCATTGTAATTCCCTAACGTTGTGCAGTGCTTCCTGTCTCTCTCTCACTAGTACTGTCTCCGCCCAGGCTGTTCTTTTCACACGAACAACTACCTTACCTTTTTAATTCTCTGTGGCTCCTGGCTTATACTCCTTCAGTTCACCCTTCATACTGTTGCCAGTGTGCTCTTGGTAAAGGATAAATACGAGCTCATCTCGTTTCAGCTTAATATCTCAGTGTCTCCTGGTGCCCAGAAACAAAGTCTGAGCTCGTCGGCATGCACTCTGAGTCCTTCCATGATATATACTCTCTCTACCATTTTGTTGCCATGTCTTCCCTCTCCTGATTTTTTTCCCCAAATGTTCCAGCTGTACCAAAGCCAAAAGCATGCTTTTTCATAGCTCCAGGCCTTTACTCACACCCAGAGTAACCTACCCTGGTCCCTCTGGCAGGTGCCTTTTCTCGGTTACCTGCCCAGCTAGAGCTGATCGTGCCCTTCTTGGCAAACTCCATGCATGCTGGTGTCACGCACTTTGTTCTTTTGTGTCTGTCTTCCTTACTGACTGTGGGTTCCTGTAAGGTCGGGCTTGTGTCTTATTCATTAACGTATTAAGCCTTTTTTTTTAGAACTTGGTTGTCTTTCTTGGTATCAATATGCATTTCTCTGCATTCATAATTTTGCTGTGCATTTTAGCTGGACCATTTTTGCCTCATGCCTATAGGCCCTCTTTATGTTAATATTTCTAATAATAACAGTAATTGTTATCATTGGCTACTATTTATTAAAAGTCAACTACATGCCAGAAATTACTGCTTTCATATATTTCATTTAATCCTTTCCATAAGCCTGAAAAATAGATCTTATCTTGTTGTATAGAGGGGTAGTCCAAGATAGAGGTTATGTGACTTGTCCCAGCTGCTCAGTGGCACAGCAGAGTTCAACCCATTGGACTGTCGGACTCAAAGCCAGCTGTCTTTCTACTGTTGAAGAATTTTAATATTTTCTGGATATTAAATTATTATAGGGGTTCAAAAGATAAAATTTACAATTTCAGGCACAATACTTGAGTATTACTAGAAGAAAACTAATTTGACTCCTGGTGTTTGTCTGACTTGGAAATTATTAATTCACAAACATTGAGCCTTCTGAAAGGTTTATGCATCCTGAATATCCTCCTTTCACTTCAACTGGGATGAATGGATTCCTATTTTACTTACTGCAGAATTCTAATTACTACAGAAATAACTGCAATATTGTGCTCACATGTTTAGTGAGGATGAGAGTAAAAGGATATTATCACAGACTGTTGGTGAGGGTGTAATTAGTACAACCTCTTTGAAGGCCACTTAGGCAGTACCAACCAAACAAAAATGTGTGTACATTATCCAGCAATTGTATATCTGGAAGGTTACTGATTGAAATATTCTCATTTGTTTGAAAAGATACACACACATACACACACATGTCCATTAGTGGGGAGTTGCTTGGCTAGACTAGACTGTGCTACATTAATGTTGTTCAGCTCCTAGAGTCAGAGAAAGGGAAATCTGTATATAGTGACGTTGCAAGATGCCCATACATGTTACTTATGTAGAAAGTAAATTGTATGAGTGCCCCATTTGTGTAAAAAGAAAAAGTGTATACTTGTACATTTTAAAAATAATTTTATATGTATAGAAAAAGTCTGGATTTCTTTATGATTGCCATGGTGGGGAGATTTTTATTATGTGCACGTGTATAGTCCGAATTTTTTTTTTTGGTGAGAAAGATTGGACCTGGGGTAACATCTGTTGCCAGTCTTCCTCTTGTTGCCTGAGGAAGATTGTCCCTGAGCTAGTATTCGTGCCAGTGTTCCTCTGTTTTGTATGTGGGATGCCGCCACAGCATTGCCTGATGAGCACTGTGTAGATCCGTGCCTGGAATCTGAACCAGTGAACCCCGAGCTGCCGAAGCGGAGTGCGCGAACTTAACCACTGCACCACCAGGCCAGCCCCTAGTCTGAATTTTTTGTCGTGAGCAAGTATCACTTTTTGATTGAATCAAGATTTTAAAGATTTCATATTGTACAATTAAAAAAAGCTATAATGGAAAATCAGTAGAAAAAGAAGTTCATATATCAAATGATGATGTGAACTGTCAACAGAATTACCTTCATGGTTGCTTTTCTACCTGAGTAGTAGTAGTATTTTTTTTTAAAGTATAGGTTTTTTTTTTCTTTTTTGGGTGAAGATTGGCCCTGTGCTAACATCTGTTGCCAATCTTCCTCTTTTTTCTTTTTTCTCCTCAAAGCCCCGGTATGTAGTTGTGTATCATAGTTGTAGAGTTGTAGCTCTTCTATGTGGGACACTGCCTCAGCATGGCTTGCTGAGTGGTGCATAGGTCCGTGCCCAGGATCCAAACCGGTGAACCCCGGGCTGCCAAAGCAGAGCGCACGCACTTAACTGCTGCGCCACCAGGCTGGCCCCGAGTATTATTTCTGTAGAATTGTGAGAATTCAAATTTTGGGTGAAATTTTGGGGCAGCTTACCCTAAAGAATGGCTTTGCTTTTGTCTGGATTCCCTGACTTCCTTCTGACTGGGTTCCCTTGGTGGTGGTCTAGGTTTTCAGCAGGGAGCTGGGGATTAATCTGTCTGAATCAGTACACTCAGCCTACAGAAAGCATGGAGAACCAAGGGTTGACTGTATGATTTTACATTCTGAACTTTATTATGGAATTAAACTTGTTACTGGATGTTTTTTTCTGAACTGCCATTTCTCCAACTTTGTTTTAAGGAATAAACATCATCCTGACCTTCATCTCTGGGCTTGTTCTGGAAAGCGAAAAGACCAAGATCAAGTAATTGCTGGGGTAGATAAAAAAATAACAGTGCAAGACACGGTTAATCTACAAGAAAAGAAATATCATGTACAGAATCATAAAGAACCACCTCGTTTGCCCCTAAAAATGGAAGGAACTTACATAACAAGTGAGCACAGCTACCAAAAGCCACAAAGTTTTAGTCAAGATTGCAAACCTCTTGCAGACCCTGGGAGCTCCGATGATGATGATGTCAGCAGTTTTGAAGAAGAACAAGAATTCCACGTGCGAGAGAAAAGCCGTTTACGATGCTCAGTGAAAGAGGATGGAGTGCCTGGAAAGGTATAGCTAGTCCGTTTGTCTTTGCTTGGAGAACATGATAGAACAAAGGAAAACTTTATAAAATAAAGCATACGGAATTCCCAGATTTTACTTGTATTTCCAAGTTCACAAGTATCTTGTTAGGGTAAGGAAATTTTTGCTTTCTCCACAAAAAACACTGGCCGTTCAGAATTGTAGTAGTTCAGTAAACGTTTGCCCTAACAAAAGTTTCAGTTTTATAAGCTTAAGCAGATACCTCCAAAAACATGAGCCACATTTTATTCCAAATGAAAATGTCTGCGTGTGAGAACATGAAAGTGCGTATGGGTGTGTATACATTAATATAATTTGTTTTCCTTTTTTATGTGTTTTACATAAAAGGTGGCCCTCTAATCTTCTTCTTTAAAATTTTAGCACATCTGTAAATGCATGTCAGTCCCATTATGCAGTAAGCTGGATTCTTCCAGCTCAGTGTACAGTGAATATTTATAAACTTATTTCCTATTCACTGAGATTGTCTTCGAGATGTTGTGCCTTCGTTTTTCATTGATTTTCAATTAGCAATGCCACATTAAAATTAATTCTTTATTTTTCTGGCCTCTTTTATCAAGTAATCACCATAAATAAATGCTGAACTGAATTTGGTAAGCTTATATTTCATGAAATTTATGGTAAATTATTTTGTCAAATTAATATCCCTCTTATGAAATAAGTTATCTGTGGTGAATCTGAGTTTAGATTTTGTGTATGTGTTAAGCAGTTTGCACTTTTTAAGTTTTTAAAAGGTTTTTATCTTTCCCTCCCCTCCCTGATTTAACTGCAGTAGTAAAGTCCAGTCTACACTTAATTAAACTTTATACTGGCCTTTGCCAGCTTTCTTGATTTTTCCATCATTGCTTTTTGCCTTCATTTCCCTTGTGTCACCTGGTGTAGATTAATTGAGGAAGGGGTCAGTCTGAATTAGCTGGACATTCTAATTATGGAATATAATTAGCAACTTCATTTATTGAGCACATTTTATTGAATCCTTTCTCCCCTGTGTAGCACAGTGGGGTAGGTAGGCATTGTGGAGAGACATAGCAGGTGTGTCTGCTCTTTAGGACCATCCAATGGAACTGGATTGTGTGCTAGCACTGCCTGTAAAAATAGTCGAGGGGTCAGATTGGATTTAACTGATCATTGTGGGTGATGAGGTTTTTAATATATCTTTCCCTTTATGATGTTGTATTTCATCCAACTCTTTGTTTTTTCCAATGGTTTTTTGGAGAAGAATCCAGCTGAAAAGAATCTGGTATTTGTTTATAATGATAAAACGGGCACTGAAGACCCAGGAGACTCACATCTTCAGTGGCAGCTCAATCTCCTTACACACATAGAGAATGTGCAGAATGAAGTTACCAGCAGGATGGACCTAATAGAAAAAGAAGTTGATGGTAATTCAAGAAAGAACTATAATACAATTACTGTAGTATGTAAAGTGTGTTTATTGTTATTATGAAGAAGTTATTGAAAATTTTTTAAATTATGGGACAAAAACTACAGAATCTCGTCATACTGATGGAGCTTCATTGCTCCCTTTACATTGCATTTAACAGCTGGCATTTGGGGCCTTTCAGGCTCAAGACAATAGGACTGGATATTAGGTTTTGTTTTTTAAGGTGGATTTTTATTAAATATTTCCCATCTGCCTGGCTCCATAGAGAGCACATATAGACTATTTATTAGTTCCATTGAGCTTTGCTTTCTTTGGAAGTCAGCATAAGGACTTTAAGCATATTTAAAATATGAGGAGAAACATTTTGAATCTTTGTTTTCACTTTGGTCAGTATTTGTTAAGTAAAATTAATAACAACCAAAAAAAACCCTGCAAGGTTAAGTAGGTAAACCTTAAATTTGCATATAGGTTTTCAAATGGTTTTGTTTTATATTTTTAATTTTATCACACAGAGGCACTCAGAAAAAGACAGGAAAGATATTATGCCAATTTTATAGTTGAGGGAATAAAATAGCTTAGATACCTGATTCCTAATCCAGTGTTTTTCGTATGCTTTCTGACTCCTTTTTACTCCTGACCTGACAGATTGCATTCCCTTTTTTTTAATTTGCAAAAGTGTGTGATACCTCCAGTCTACACTAAGTTAGAGCTCCTGCTGGTTTGTTTTTCCCTGAGAAAAGAAAAGAGGAAATGGAAACCCATTTCAGAAACATCTTCCATTTGGTTATAAGCCAACTGTAGAGTTAGTTTAACTTTTTGAGTAGATTTTTGAAGGAAAAAAATGCAACTTGACACTATCCCCTATTATTATTAATAAAAATTGTAGATTGTAATTAATTACATTCAATCTAGACTTCTAATATGCTTGCATGTTTTTTAAAAAAAGTAATGATAAAATAGTCAGACTGAAAAGGACACAGAAATTGCCACCTCCTTTTGTTAAAAAGAACTTATAGATTTTTTAAAAAATTGGTTAGAGTAGGTAAGTTTCATTTAAAATGAAGTAGAAATACTTTAAGCCTAGATTAATAGAAAGCTTGGACAGATACAGGGAACTGTTGTTTTCTCTTCCAGGAGAGAGTAAGCAGAGACATTAAAAATGAAGTTCATATATTTATAAAGGGGAAAATTATCTAAAGTAACAGGTAAAATAATAGGTAAAGGTTACCAAGAGGGACTGGGACTCTTGTGGGCTAAGACAGAAGGTGTACTGAGCTGCTCAGAAGTGGCTTGAGGATACTGGCAGAGAAAGAGACGTGAGCTCTGTCTCCGTCACTTTTCCAGCCTTCTCATTGTACCATTGTGTGACTGTTCTCCCAGTTGCCATTTGAATTCGTTCTCTTCTCTCTCTCAGTTCTGGAAAGCTGGCTCGATTTCACAGGGGAGTTGGAGCCGCCTGATCCTCTCGCGAGACTGCCCCAACTTAAACGCCACATCAAACAGCTCCTCGTTGACATGGGCAAAGTACAACAGATAGCAACTCTTTGCTCTGTATGACGACAGTGAAAATCCCAGCAAGAAGAAAGTGGTCTCTTCAGTTGAATAATTTTTAATATCCACATGACTGCTTAGTGGATAGTTAAAAAGCTTAGTGATGGTTGGTCATTTACTGATTTGTGACATCAATAGGATGGCACCTTGGAAAGGAAAATGAAGAACAACTTTATCAAAGAAGCTAATATAAAAAAAATGTATGAGCAAGCTATGAATGATGTGTGTTATCTGCCAAGGATCAGTGAAGTAGAATATAATCTATACTGAGGGAATTGAACTGGCAGGATTTTTAAGTAGTTGCTTACATGAAACTTGAGATACCTGTAGAAAGAAATATGGTGCATTTATATAGTTTTTAGTAGAAAGATCCATGTTTATAAACCAGCATTTGGCCAAAAACAAAATTGTAGAGGAAATTTAAATTCTGGAGAGTTCTGTAAGGTTGCTGTAAGAACTATCTTCTTTGCAGTTGATCCAGCTGCACTGAAGTTTAGAGTATGTAAACTTTTATAGGATCATGAGCTGTTTCTTAGGTGATGAATGTCCTTAATCAGAAAACAGACAATAGAAGTCTCACTTCTGGGGAAAACAATTGTGGAATCCTTACTCCATTATGAATATATTTTAAAAACGAACACCAAATAATTGGAATTTATTGCAGGTATTAAGCTTATTAAAACAAAATGGCTTACAGAAGGGTCAGTGTGCCAAATGATGATACTGCTAGAAAGAGAGTTTCACTGTTGTGGGAGTCCTCTCAGTCCCAGTCTCACGTACGACATCAGTCCGTTGGAAACGTGTAGATCACATGTCCCAGACATAACGCATGTGGTTGCATTGCGGTATTCAGGCTCCAATGTACAGTCTGATCCTGAGTCTGCTCGGTGTTTGCCTTCAGAAAAAAAACTGTAAATAACCTCAGCTGGGATGAGGAGTGACAAATATATCAAAATGATTTGTGGCTGTGGATTTTTTAACTGCTGGTAGTGGAATACTGGGAAAGCTTCGTTTCTGAAGATGAATTTTATTTTTAAAAAATACATGCGCACTCAAAACTTTAGCTTTGATTACAAATGGACAAATTCCTGAAACCAAAGGCAACTGAGTTGCTGTGTTAGCTCTTGCTGGATTTCGAGCCCAGGCCCTCCATCTGCCAGTGCTCTCGTGAATTCTGTGCCGCCCGTGCTACATATCCAGGTATGCGTGAGCCCGTGTGCTTGTTTGAAACACTCAACGTACATATGTACATAATTGACACATATTTATATCTACACATATCTAGTTTTATTACTATAAACTATAAGAATTGGTGGTTAACATGAAATGTTACCTTTTAACAGACTGTTTTTAAAAATTAAAAATGTATGTATAGGTTTTGAAACTTTTTTAAAAAGGGGGAAAAAGACTGTTAAGAGGAGGCTATTTGATGACATATAACACTTGAATATTTGATGCCTCATCCTGTTTATCAGTTCTAGCAATCTGTATAAATGCATTTTAGGACTGATAGACAGTAAACTTGAATTTATCTTTGATAAGAATACATGCCACTGTACATTCAGATGTTATTTAAATTTGCAAACACACTGTTCTATATGTAAGGTACTGTATGTAAAACTCTTTATTAAAACTATTCCACATATCCTAAAATTTCAGCTTGCCTTTTTGCGGCCTTATATTTTGATGTAAAGATGATGAAAAGAATGTGCAAAACAGTCATTAGAAATTTTTATTGCTTTTTGAGATTCTCCAACTTGACAAATGTGCCAAAGATCAACAGACATAAAAATAACAGTCCTGTGTATTTACTTGTAATACATTAACTTTGTCAAAGATCTTATGAGAAATGAAAAGCTTTAGTAGAGGTGATATTATGGGGTAGTTGCTTAAATTTGCATATTAAAGTTAAAAAATGGTGCCTATATTCCATGTGTGGAGTAAATTTGCTAATGTCTGTATTTCAAGATTGATAACTATATATCTTTCATTTGTGTTTAAAAATAATGGCTCTAATCTTTTCCTTATTGTGTTTAAATTCTAGTCATTGAATTTATATCTTCCTTTTTTTCAGAAATGGAGCAAATAGCATCCTTAACCTGTGAATAGTGATGTTGCCTAGATTCTTGTCCCTTACACAGAAGACCCTTTGTACCCAGTAACACTCATCTTCTCAGTCCCTGGTGACCATGGCTATCAATGTACATTTGCTCTTGTAGTATCTAAAATTAGATCGTTTTATTTGTTAGCAGCCAGCAAACTGGAAGTCCCACTAGTGATTAGATTACTAAAATTGTTGCTCAGCTTTTATGTATATGAATTGGAAGTCTGAGTTTTTTATTTTAGATTTTTAAAGTATATCTATATCAAATAATTTGTATGCACATATCCGTTATTTAATATAGAGTATATCAACAATTGGTTGAAGCCTTCTGGCAACTAGTGGGCTGAGCCACTCCTTATTAAAGAGAGTGAATTCATGTTTGAAATTTCACTGTGAGAGGTTCCAGATGAGTTGATTTTCTTTCCTCTTAGTCTCACTTAAAAACATATAACTATATATATTTAAATATAAGCAATAAACTAGAGAGTGTTTTTTGAAAAGATAACTTTTCATTGCTACCCAGACAGAATAGAATGTGCATTGGTGGGGAGGGAGCCTTTTTAGTATGTTATTGATAAATATAATTTGTACGTCCTCATACTTGTGTGTGGTTCTACTGAATTCTTATTTTCAAATTTCAGAGTAATGTGTTCTTTCCTTAAAGGAACTTGGTTATTCTGATCATTTCAAGTAAAGCCCCTTTTCCTAACACTCATCTTATTTCTACTAACTTACTTCCTCTGAGATGTTCATATTCCACACATTCAAAATAAAGCCTTCCATTTCCCCTCCAGTCAACTGGATCCCCTACCAACTTCACCCTGTCTGCTAATAGCATTACCCTCAGAGCCCCAGCTTGAAACTCACAGTCCTCCGCATATCCATTTCATTACTAGAAGCTCAAAATGAATGGTGTCATCTTCCTCCTTTTCAGTCCCACTAGTAGTCCACCATTTTTTATAAGGTCACGTGATGGAGGTGTTACTACTGGCCTCTGAAATGTTAACTTAGTCTTCATTCTGATTCATCTAAGTGGTCACTGCCAGGCTAGAGCATTCACACTTGCTGAGTGGCTGCTTTTTGCCTGGTATTGTACATGTTACCTACAGTATCTAATGGAATTCTCTTGTAGATCAGGGCCACTTTCAAGATGGGGAAGCTGAAGTATAGAGACATTGAGGAACTTGTCCTGGGTAACACTTAAGTGGCAGGTTCAAGATGCAAACCCTGTGCCATTCAAGCTCATGTTCTTTTCCTAGCAGGTGTGTTTCAGCTGTAGTTGTTATTTCAGATTTCTTCTCTGAAGCCGCCAGTGACCCTATTTGTAACCAAATTAGATCTGTGTAATCTGGATCTTCTGCACTTTATCTAACCAATTCTCACATTTATTTAAATGTAGCCTCACTGTTAGATAGACCATGCTTGTTTCCATCTCTTGCCTTCATATCATTTCCCTCTTCTGGAAAATTCTCCTTTATTGTGTCTCTACAAACCCAGACGACTCTTCAAGCTTCAATTTCTCTTCCTAAGAGAAACAGTCCATTATTGAAGACCTCTTATGCTGTCCTGCATTGTCCCAAGCTATGGAGAAACGACATCAGTGAATAGTAATTTGGTGTAATGGAACAGGCATGAACTTTGCGATCCTGTACTCAGATTTTCACTGGCAGTATATGAGCAGTGATCTCTCTGAGCTTTGGCTTCCTTATCAATAAAAGGGGAATAATTCCTCACCTTGAACCTTGTTTTGAGAGTTAAATGAAGCAAGTAAAGTACCTAAAGACTCTTATTAAATTATGAAGTTGAAAATTAAATGTAGTAGACATATTGAGTGACAGCTGTGTGCCAGCCATTAAGTTATGTTGCTGGATATGGAATTATCATTAATAAGATCACAGTCTGTAGGCTAATGGAAACATAAAAAACATTTTTCAATGAGATAGATGATATCAAAGAGTACAAGGAACCAAAGAGGCAAAAGAAAGGAAAGATAATTAGAGTTGTAGGTGGAAAGGTTTGGGAGAAATAAAATATGTATGTTAATTAAAACAGTGGTCTTTGAATGTTTTATCACTGTGACCTCTCTATAGGAATTTTGAAAATTATCCACTCCTGGTACCTAACGTCTTTGGATACCCCTGAAGGTAGATCCACAGACAAATCTTAAGTGTCTTTAATTTATTTAAGAAATCATCCAAGGAAGTTGGAGTGAGGAAGTGGGAAGAGTAGGGGAGGAAAGGAAAAGCCAATATAAACATGCACAATTGAGGATACTGCTGTAGGCCATGGGGCTTTGATTCTACCATTTGAAATTGTTGTTCATAAATTTAAACAATTGCAAAGGGTGTGTTTTCCAATTTGTAAATATTGGCATATTAAAATCAACCTGCTATCATTTTAAATACATGCAATGGAATCAATACAATTTTGCTACTTAAACCAACATCTATTTTCTTTTGTTTCTTTTTTTTTTTAATTTTTTTGGTGAGGAAGATTGGCCCTGAGTGAACATCTGTGCCAATCTTCCTCTATTTGTATGTGGGACACCGCGACAGCATGGCTTGGTGAGCAGTATGTAGGTCCACACCTGGGATCCGAACCCACAAACCCTGGGGCGCTGAAGTGGAGTGCACAAACTTAACCACTACACCACTGGGCCAGCCCCCCAACATCTATTTTAAAAATACATAAGCAAGCTCTTCCTTAACGTTTGAAAATTTTACATACTTTTATATTCTCTCTTTTGCTTTTGCATTTTACTTCCCAATAGGATGTGATCTTCTTTTATACTTACAGGTCTTTCTCTGTCATCCTCTCATACTTTTGTCCACACACACAAAAAATAGTAAATTGCAATTTCAAATTATAGGCTTTTAAATAGAGTATCAAAATACAGGAAGCAAACACTACTATTGTTGAGTAGAAAATAGAAAAACCTACCATTATAGTTGAAGATTTCAACCCTCCTTTAATTGTTAGAGCAAGTAGACAGGAAATCAAGATGTAGAAGACTTGAACAAAAATGAATGCTCACCTTGACCTAATTGACATGGAACATTCCACCCAACAACACGAGAATACAAATTTCAAGTGCATTAGGAACATTCAAAAAGATGGACTATATACCAGGCTATAAAACAGGTCTCAGTACATTTGAGATAATTGAAATCATGTGTAATATGTTCTCTGCTGACAATGGAATTAAACTGGAAATCAATATTAGATACCTGGAAAAAAAACCCAAGATTTTTGAAACTTAACATACTTGTAAACAACCCATGAGTCAAAAAGTTGCAAGTAAACTTAGAAAGTATTTTTAATTGAATGAAAATGAAAACAACATGCTAAAATTTGTGGGATGCAGCTCAAGCAATATTAGAGGGCAATTTACAGTTTTAAATGCTTATATTAAAAAGAAAGGTACACGGATTATAACTAGACTTACCGTGGTGATCATTTCACAATGTATACAAATATTGAATCATTGTGTTGTATACCTGAAACTAGTATAATGTTATATAACAATTATACCTCAATTAAAAAAGTGGAAATTAAATAAGGTACAAAACCACTAATCTATGATTAAAAAACTAGAAAGATGAGCAAATTAAAACCAAGATAAGTAGAAAAGGAAGAAAATAATATGTGCTGAAATCAATGAAATACTAAACTAACAACAGGGAAACATCAATATAAACCAAAAATCTGATTCTTTGAACAGAAAAGTAAAATTGGTTAACTCATATGTAGACTGATCAAAAATTAGAATGGAAGAGGGAACTTACTACGTATCCAAAAGACAATTTTAAAAACGGATATTATGAAAAACTATAGGCCAATAAATTTGACAGCTTACATGAAATGGAAAAATTCCTCAAAAGACACAAATTTACCAAAACTGACTCACAAAGAAATTGAATTTGTAATTAAAAATGTTTCCTCAAAACTCCAGGCCTAAACGTGGATTCTTTCAAACATTTAAGGAAGAAATCTCAATTTTACACAGGAAAAAAGAGAAGAAAAGAACACTTATTTTTTGAGACCAACTTTGACCTCATGCCGTAGGACACTACAAGGAAGGGAAATTGCAGACCAATACATATCCCTCTTGAACATAGACACAAAATCCTCAACAAAATATTAGCAATGCAAGTCCAATGATACATAGTAAGGGTAATATATCAAGATCAAGTTGGCTATTCCACAGGAGTAAGAAGTTGGTTCAATATTCAAAAATCAATGTAATATATTAATAAAGAATAAAAATTATGTTAATCTCAAGGAAAAGCATTTCATAAATTTCAGCATTCATTCATGATTAAAAACTATCAGAAATGGAATAGAGAGGAATTTGCATAACTATAAAGGGCATCTACCAAGAAACTTACCCTTAATGTCAGAATGATGAATGAGTACTTTCCTCCCTAAGACAAGAAAGCCAGAATGTGCATTACCACCACTTCTATCTGACATTGATCTGGAGGTCCTGCTAGTGCAATGTGGCCCTGGGCTATAAAGAAAAATAAAAGGGATACCACTTGGAAAGGAAGAAGAAACATTTGACATGTATACGTGGAAAAATCTAAGGAATCTACCAAAATGCTACTAGAACTAATATTTCTACATGTTAGCAATGAGCTATTGGAAATGGGAATTTTTTTTAAAAATACCATTTTTGATAGCATCGAAAATATGAATACTTAGGGGTAAATCTGAAAAAAATATGTGCAGAACCTATACACAGAAAACTACAAAACGATGACTGGAATGAAGATGAAATAAATGAAAGATATACCAAAATCATGGATTTTGCAATACTGTCAAAGTTTCAGTTCTCCCAAAACTGACTGATAGGTATAATGC